GCCGATCTCCAATTCATGTATTGCTCGTCGTCGAAGATCCACTCCACAGATCCCTTCCGTCGCTCACGTCGCCAGGTACTTTCAAACTCATCTTGATGCGGTGACAACTGCCGAAGTACTTGAATGCGCCAATCCTCCGCTCTTCTCTTCCTCGACTCGCCCCACGAGGATAGACTACCTGAAATGGCCGCAATCGACGTATTTGCTTGAGCTTGGGATGCTTCGTTCAAGTAAGCAAGCTTTTTGTTGATCACTTTTGACCAAAATGCCAGTTGTGTCTCGAATTCCTTAAATTCTTTCTCTAAGCATGTGCTTGTAGCTAATTGAGCAAGAAAACCTTTCTTCTCGAAGCCAATGATTGTTTTGCACATTTCGGTAATAACAATTAGGTATTCGCAAGTAAGGGCCTTTAAATCCGAGTCGTGGGGAAATAATAGGACTCGATCTCGTTGGATGATAGTTGCGTGTCCTAAACGCATGAGCAAGAGCGAAAGGCGTTCAAAATAGGATAGATGACCGGTCGCTATCTACATTTCAGACTGGTCAGGAAATTGAAGTGGTATCAAAATGGCTAGTATTCTCACCTCAAGAGACAGTCTCACGGTTGCCCAAACGCCACTTGCGATCATGTTCTGAGATCCACCAACTAAGATGTCGCCAGGTTTGATAAGAAGCTGGATTTGATCTAAGAACTTGAGAAGTCTTGTACCAAAAGGCTTCCAAGAGGTTTGATGGAGTCGCGAACCATCTCGATTGATTTCTTCCGTAAGACGGATGACGTCGATTTCGGAGGGAGGAGAATGCGTTTGCCATGTTTTGAAGATTGGCCGGTATTTTTCGTCAAGTCCAGAGCTGAATTCTGAGATAACCTTTGCGAGTCTTACGGCGGGCGTTAAAGGCGCCGCAGTGGGTACGGGTACTAAAGAGGACATGATGTCGTCGTTAGAAGATACCCTGGCTTAACCGCAAGGGAATTTATCCTTTTGCATACGACACACAATACTTCTTTTGCAAAGAGAAGTGTATGTAATTTGGCTTGATCACGAAGATGGATAAGCAGGCTGAGTTTGGAGATGAGAAAGAAGAGAGGCGGCAAGTGATTCTGTCCCTTGTGTGGTTATAGTCTGCCTTATCACGTCACTGTAAGACATGTGAGGGGTTATCTGCAGGCATCTGGTTCCTGATAGGTTGTACGAAGTACAAGGGGATTGAAAATGATGGGACCAATAATAAGAAATTGAAGAGGTATATGATATTATAATTGCAGATTCAAATAGAAAAACAAATTTATAAAAACTACTTAAAGTACCTTAATAGATTTAAAAATATAAATAGTGTTATTAAAGGGTAATTGTGGCATTCTTTAAATCAGTCATCTTAGAACTTGAACCCGTCCAGAAGATGTGCTCCCCTGATTCGACTTGATACTTGGCATTGTTGTAGTAGCCAAGATCGTTCTTGGGTATCCTGAAGTTGACAACCATACCCTGGCCTGACTTAACCTCAACCTTCTGAAAGCGGATCAGGCGTTTGTTTGGCAGCTCGATCTCGGAGTTCGAAGGTCTCTGATAGACCTGGATGACCTCCTTTCCCGTAAGGGAGCCTGTGTTGGTCACCGTAACCGAGATAGAAACGGCGTTACCGTTCTGAGTAATCTTAGGAGCAGAGATGTCGAAGGTGGTATAGCTGAGGCCGTAGCCGAACGGCATGGGAGCATCACCTCGTTTTAGACAGGGGAAGTTGTAGTCATATGTGGCGCAAACACTGGGAGTCTGAATGAAGCTTACGCCTCCTTGTGCGTCAGAAGGCAGATAGTCGTAGTACACTGGGAGGGCTCCCTCAGCTTGCGGCATAGTTACAGTCAGCTTGCCACTGGGGTTAACCTTGCCCTGAATAATCTCGACTGCGCTGTCGGCGGTGAACTCGCCAGCGAGGAACGTGTGGAGGATGGCGTCGGCCCGTATGGTTGAGTTGTTGAGCACAAACGACTGGCCACCACTGAGAACAACAATCGTTGGCACGCCGGCGTCGAGAACGGCGTCAATGAGTTGCTGCTGACTACCGGGGAAGCCCAAACTGGCATGTGTGAAGAATTCGCCATCCGTACGCTCACCAGCATTTGGATCCAGAGTGTATACGGACAGAGATCCAACAGCCACAATCGCAAGGCCGGCTTCCTTTGCAGCAGCGACAGCAGCTTGGATGCCCTCAGTGTCACTATCACGTACGAAAGCAATGTCAACGCCCTTGATGTACTTAACGTTCTTGGCTCCGAGCGCTGCCTCGAGGCTCCCCTTCAGCGTGCGTCCATGCAAGGGTTTCTCGCTCGTACTGGGAGCGTAGCTTCCAGGATTCAAAAGGTCGGCCATGGGGCCGAGGAGTGCAACCTTGGGGATCTTGGATTTGGGAAGAAAATTGTTCTTGTTCTGTAGTAGGACGATGGATTCGCGTGAAGCCTTCCGGTTGATGTCGAGATGCTTGGATGCGCGAAGCACCTTCTTGAGGTTCTTCATCGTGGGCAAGGGAAGATCAAACATGCCAGTCGCAAACTTGATGATCAAATGCTGCTTCACTGCCTCGTCTACCAGCCTCACGATCTCCTGGTCGCCCGAACTGTTAACAAGAGTCGGAAATGCGGCTGGTTGTTGAGGAGCTAGCTCGAGCTGCAATCCGGCACGGAGGGCCTTGGTAGCTGCATCCTTGAGAGATGAAGCCACGAGGCTTTGGGTATGAAGATGTGGAATGGCCACGGCGTCGGACATGAGCAGGCCATCAAAGCCCATTTCAGATCTCAGCATACCCTGCAGAAGCTGTTTGTTGATTGACATAGGGACACGGTCGATACTGGAATACGACACCATGATAGACGCAGGGTTTTCCTTGAGCACGCGAATGTACGGAAGGGCGAGATCGTTGTACAAATGATTGATGCCGCCGGCCATGCTAGCAGTGTTGATACCGCCCGCGCCTTCTCCGTATAAGAAGTGCTTGACCGTGGTGGCGACTTTGATGAATCCGTTCTTGTCTTTCTCTTCCATAGTTCGAACATACTGCGCTGCGAATTCACCGACAAGATAGACATCTTCGCCGTAGCTGGTATGGAATCGGTTAGCCATACGTCCATATGCACAGGAAGCCGTCAACACCGCGAGCAAATACAAGAATGAAGTTGTAGTGGAAAAGGAGTTGCTTACGTCTCGCCCACTCGGCCGTATCTGGGATCCTTGGCTACGTCTAGCTCGGGACTTAGTACCCAGTGCGTCCCGAGCGCCATGTTCTCGTCTCGAATCGCTCCCGCTACTTGGCCATACAGATCTAGGTCCCATGTCGTGGAGAGTGAGAGTGTTGCTGGAAAGAGGGTCCCTCCAGGCACATAGATGGAGTTGACCGAATCTGTGACTGTAATGTACGGAACTTTGCCATCCTGCATTTGCTCCTGTCGGACCTTATTCGCGAATGGCAGCACCTTTTCAGCAGGATTCAATTGTGAGCCGTAACCTAATGAGAATTTGTCAGCTTGGGACTTGTTCGTTGAGACAAGGCTTTGTGCACTTGCGCCTTACGAAAGACCTACTTACTTAGTATACCATGCTGCAGAGGGTACAACGCATCATATGCAGTCTGGTTAAAGGATGAATTAGGATCCAGAAGCTTTCTTATACCACCTAACTGGGCGATCTTCTCTGTCCATTTGAGGGTGGGCAAGAGAGCCTCCACGCGCTCAGCTGGGGAGAGAGCTTTGTTTTTCCAGGCTTCGTTGTTTGCGCTCGGTGCGGCGATCACATGGTACGCCAAGGACCCAGTAAGAGCTAGGCTTGTCACAGAGAAACGGACCATCTCGCCAGGCTGTTGAGGGTGACTTGTGTAGAGACGCCGACAGCTGGATTCTTGGGGGAGTTACTGTTAGTGGTTGGATGTATCAATGGGATGACATTCTTCTTATACTTTTCTTCGCAGGCCAATGCAGCAGAGTTGCTAACGCCCGCATCACTCTTTCAAGGTACATCGGCATGAAGCTGGGGCATATGGCCTTAGCTTGCTTGCCTCATTTCTGCACAGATGACGAATAAATTCATGAAGCGAGCTGAGCCAGGTCTTTTCCGCCAAGGTTGTGCGGATGGCGATGATCATGTCTTTGGCCATACGCATGATCCATTTCTTGAGAGTCCAGAGACTAATCCGGGGTATTACCTACGAATCTGATTCGATAAATTGATTATCTGAGGACATAAACCGACAACCGGACAGTGTTGTGATATGTTCAATTTTGACTTAGTGACTGCCAACGTGAGATGAGCCTGGAGGCTCGTCGCTCGGGCAAGACATATCCATCTTAGTTTCTTCTCTGAACCAATTGCAGTCTAGTCAAGGTGGTATTGACCGACTACCGAACCCCAGATCAGATGCCCGAGTACGTGTATCTCGGCCGGATTTACCAGAAAAGGCTAAGCCATTTTTCAAGGACATCGGCCCTCGAAAGACGCAATCACTCATAGCCCGCGTGGATGGTCCATTTTCGTCGTCGAATTTGCTGCGGGGCTATAACTCTTTCGAGGGAGCCACGAGTTCCGGGTGAAGTGCCGATTCTCGTTCACCTTCTTTGAATAAGAGGTGTTTAAACCAAAACGAGCATAACGCAAGATAGGGTTAGCCTAAATTACGCCATACCTAGCCTGGCGTGATAGCTCTTGTTCGCCGTTGATACATAGTGAGTTGCATCTCCCAGCAACACTAATACGAAGTATATAATATTTTCTGATTAGATCTACAGGAAGCAGTGGGTCAAATACAACATAAGAATGACACACGATTCTCGCCAGACTGACTGTTTCCTGATTCGTTAGCGGTAGCAACGGTGTCATTGGAAGATTATATGGCTTAGCCTTCAAAGTCAAAGCAATGTCTAATTGAAGTGGTCGGAGCATTTCTTGAACGAGATGACCTGCTCTTCTGCCGATAGCACTGGCACAACATAAGGAGCTAATAAGATGAACTGTCGCTCACGTGCTTGCGCCCAATTCCGTGAGTTGATCTTCCAGGAGCCATGCCCAGTCCTGGGGAGCCCACCACGCGAAGAGACCAGGTGCAGCAGGGCTGCGAGTGCTCATTGGCTCTTGGCCACGAGGCTTGGCCGTATGAGCTCGAAGCTTTTCTTTTGTAGGCTGATTGTTGGTTATAGAGTTCGTTTTCAGATGGGGGTTTGCTGATTGCGACCCTGCAGTCGCATCAGTTGTAGCGGTCGATGCGCCAACGAGGCGAGGTCTCTCCTCTTGAGAATTGCCATGGTTACCCCGTGTAGGAGAACTGTGTTGGTTGTCCCCCATCGAAAAGGCTGGGTGCCGAGGTGTACCAGAACCAGGAGTTACTTCCTCGATATGGGAACTCTGGTACTCTTCATCGTCGCGTTCAATATTTGACAATTCAGCTCGGCGCAAGAGACTGTGTACAGCCAAACGCTGTCGAGCACGCACAGCTTCGGAAAAATGACCGTCCGATCTGTTTTGACTCTGTAGCGAGGACAGATGATGGATCTCACTCTGCAGAGTCCGACCCTCTTCGGGGTTGCCGTTGATCGCCGGTGCAGTAGCTGGGCCTGAATCGGGTGTGCATATCTCGTTGGCTGTAGTTACTGAGAAGCCTGGTTGGGTTTCATCAGATAGAGTTCCCGCAACAGGTGTTGCGTTTGCTGCCGCAGCTGACCCCTGGTTCGCTGCCACGTGAATAAATCCAGCGGCCCCCGACTGATCGTCAGGAAGGTTTCGTTTATTCTTTTGCTGCTCGGAGAAGATGGCGATGGACTCCTCCAGTTCCCTAATGATAGGACTCACGAGTGCTGAGAATCGGAAAAATCTCCTGAGCGCAGCTAGGCAAAGCTCGGCACGGCTAATAGCGAATTCCGGTGACGGCCGAGCAAGGCCGCGACCGCATCGAGAGATGAAGAGGATAAGACGGGTGGCATGGTAAGCACAAATAGCTGTGTCGAATTCAAGGAGGTGATGTTGCGTGCTATGCTGGTTGAATGCGGTAAGTATGTAGATAATTCGCGTTGCGTGATGCAAACATTGAGCCTCAGCAGCAAGGAGGGCCTGGTAGTCATGGCCAACGAGCACGGCAGCGGGGGCAGCCTCCGAGTACCCAGGCAAAAGGATGCGGTTGATATCGCAGTGTGCCTGGTGCCATGAGATGTGGGCCAGCAATAGACGAGGGAGCCATCGGGAGATAGACCCGTTTCCGTTACAACTGCTGCCAGGAGACTCAAATGCTCCATCCACGCTTAAGAGAGCTTCCAGGATCGGTGCTGGTTTCTCCATGCATGCTAGTGTTTGTAAGTGGTGGCTGAAGAGGTCTGTGAGATTACACAACGGCGTTTCTAGCAGCGCAATTTTCCTAGAAAGCTTCATTACATCACTTCGAATTGCTTCCAGCTGCATAACAAGCCCGTAGGTGCCCCCCTCACCACGGCAGTTTTGGTACTCGCCGTCGGCTTGTTCCTTTGCAGTAACATCAATTTCGTGACCACTGGTCATTGCCATGAAGTGTTCCTCGCTGCGCGGAACGTCAATGTAGATGACCTCCATTGGCAACGAGTCAAACTCGGCAAGGCCAATCGAGAAATAGCGCTCGACCATCTTTAGAGACCAGAGAGTGCGGCGTCGTACTTCTCGCGCAACTGGCTGAAGGTCATGTCTCTCGTAATTGAGTCGCATAGTCGTGGCGAAGCGAGCAGCCGTGGCTGTCAGCATGAATGCCCTTTGAAAAAGCTCCGTCTCTATGTAATAGTGAATTACGAGGAGAAGCGCCTGAAGTTTGGTTATACTAGGCGATTCGAGACTTCTCCATATGCTCTCCTCGGCCATCCTGATCCACGCACCCGTATCCTCAGTAGAGGCAACGATGTGGTTGACCGCTCTTCGACTCGAGTCTTGTTGATGATCAAGCTCGAGATCGACTTCTCTGCGCAGGTACAGCATTGCAATCGCGCAAATAGAAGCAGGAAGGGCACGATGCACGTCATGCGAATGGCACCTTATCCTGGTGGTTTCTGGATGTAGAAATGCGTATGATGGCATCGGATAGATGAACTTGAAGAAGACGTCAAGGAGACTGTCTAGTTGATCGCGGCTTGGGCCACCGTAAACTGAGCCTCTTGTTACAGACCCTGTTGAGGATGGATGCCACGATACTGATGAGTCTGCGGGCGAAGACAGCGGCATTGTAGCTGTTTCTCCGCACCTTGAAGGATGTCCCGCAGACTGCTGCTGCCGGGGCAGTTCTGTTCTTTGCAGCTGATGCTGTTGATGCTCCTGTCGCTGAGGCTCGTGCTCCACTTCATACTCCTGGTCAATCGCCAGGCCGTGTTCATAATCGTGTTCCAGTTCCTGCTGCTGCTCCGGTGCTTTTTGGTGTTGGTGCTGCTCCGTTATTTCAGTAGCTGGAGGACTGGTTGACATTTCGGAGACAGACTGCAAGCCCTGTTCTCTTTCCAGAAAGGAGCATTCGTTTTGCTGAGGGGCCTCCTCCAGTGTGGTTTCGTCAAGCAAATAACCTTCTGGGGCGCGTCGATAACGCTTAAGTGGCGGATAAGTGCATCTGATGTCCTTCTGCTGACATGCGACACATGCCGGAAGCGTCGCCGAGCACTTGATCTTCTTGAGACGACAGGAAGAGCAGGCACGAGCTCCTCGGAGGCGTTTCCTCGACGGTGACGGGCTCTCGTGAAGTTGGCACTCATCATTGTTGAGAGAGCAAGCCAAGTTCAGCCGTCGACAATTGCGACACGTCCCTGGTTGTTTGTCGCAGCGTACCTTGCGCTGTTTGCATTGAAAACATGTTTGAGGGATGTAGGTATTGGTATGAAGCCTGAAATGGCCGATATACTGTTCGTAATCCATTGGATGCCATCCTTCTCGCGACCGATGCTTGTCAGCTTGTGAATTGACCCAGTTTGTGAGATGTGAATGATTTGGATGGCAATGAAACTGCAGCGACCCGTGTTTGCGGGGAAGTGGAGAGTCCCCAAGGGGCCATGGCGTGCTATTCTCTCCAAGTGACGGAACCAACTGAATTTAATTTAGGGCGGGTCAGCGTCTTTTTAGTGCCGTTTGGCCCCGCATCAGCAGAGCCACAGCGCCTTCAGAGGCTAACATTGGGGATAAGTCGCCAAGGTCCATTCTTGCAAACCCTTCACAGGGGCTTGAATGAGTACAATAGCTTCATCTCAGCTCCTTTTCACAGGCCAAGAGGCTTGACTTTGCGAGTACTGTTTCATTAGGATCTTGATGCTTCTAGTCACTGTGTTATGTACATGTCTCATCTATCAGTTGTCTTACAATCTGCGTTCCATCCAATCCTTCACAACTTCTGCTTCAGCGCATCCTCAGGTCGCACGCCGTTCTGTTCTGCATACTTGACTGCCGCTGGGACACCTTTACTTGGACCACTCAGTCGGAGATGGATCGGATCATCGCCAATATGCTCCATCTTGGCCTCGAGGAGAGCCGTCATGTGCTTGACCACGTCAATATACGCACTATCGTTGTACAAGTTGAAGAGCTCGAGGGGGTCCTTCTCGCAATCAAATAGCTCCCATTCCTTTTCCTCTGGCTCATTAATATTGTCTGCACTTCCTGGCCGCGCGCCTACAACTCCGAGATCCTCGTTATACCAGTAAATGAGCTTATACCGCTGATTGCGGCATCCGTAGTGCGCATAGGCCTGGTGAATTACATCGTTGTGCATCCAGTAACGGTGATACGCGACGTTCTCCCATTCAGGACCTGTCACGGATCCCCCGCGCATCAGGGGCAGTGCCGACTTGCCTTGCATATAGTTCGGGATCTTGATGCCCGCCAGCTCGAGGAAGGTCGGGGCAAAGTCGACATTGCAGAATATCTCATTGCTGATAGAGCCGGCTGGAATCTGCTTCGGGAGTTGCGCCAGGAAGGGCATCTGGAAAGATTCCTCGTACATAAACCGCTTGTCGAACCATCCATGCTCACCCAAGAAGAAGCCCTGGTCCGAAGTGTAAATAACAAGAGTGTTCTCGGTAAGGCCCTTCTGGTCAAGATAGTCCAGCATGCGCCCTACGTTGTCATCCACAGATTGGATCACGCGCAGGTAGCGCTGCATGTAGCGTTGGAACTTGAAGGCAGACAGCTCGGCAGGTGTAGTGAATGTGAAAACGGTGCCATCATCTTTGTCAATCAGCTTAACGCTCGGGTCCGTTGGGATCTTGCGTTGGGCCGAGCCGGACTCTTGAGTCACACGCTCGCCTACCGACCGACCGCCGTCTGGCTGAACGAGTCCAAGATCCTGATATGTCAAGTCCTCAGCCACGCGCATTTTGGCGACTCTGGCAGCTTTAGCTCTATTCTTGTAGTCATCGTCGTACGTCTCTGGAACCTTGATCGGCTTGTCGGCATACAGGCTCTTGTGCTTTGTATCGCATTCCCAAGATCGGTGAGGAGCTTTGTGATGGCACATCACAAAGAATGGCTTACCAGAGCTCTCGGTGGCAGTTATCCACTCAAGGCACTTGTCGGTGATTATGTCCGTGACGTACCCTGTTTCGTGACGCTCGACGCCTGCGCCTTTGCCGTCGGGGGGCATTTCGATGAACTCGGGGTCCCAGTAGTCCCCTTGGCCTGGCAGGACGCTCCAGTAGTCGAAGCCCGTCGGCTGGTGTGGTTCGCCTTCGCCCAAATGCCACTTGCCTACCATTGCCGTACGGTAACCGCCTGTGCGTATGTGCTTCGCTACGTTGGGCATATGTTTGTTGATGTGGTTGTCGAGCGTCATGACTCCGTTCACGTGGTTATGTGTTCCTGTAAGAATGGCCGCTCGAGATGGTGTACAGATGGAGTTTGTTACATAGCAGTGATTGAAGAGCATTCCATTCTTGGCAATCCGATCGAGGTTTGGCGTATTGTTTATGCCCGCGCCGTAAGCACTGATGGCCTTGGATGCATGGTCATCTGCCATGATGAAGAGAATATTCGGTCGCGAGTCCATCTTGACCCCAATGATTGAGTGGTTCGTTTAGTGAAGAATAGAATGAGGCAGAATATGGAAAGAGACACGCTTTGAGACCTAAGGAACGGAGGTAGAATATGTCAGTCAGTGCTTGGGACGATCAGGTAGCCACAAGCTATTCGGAGAACTTGGTGAAGTGCTTACTATGTATGTGACGGAGGTTGAGGACAACAAACAGTCTTACCGGCTAATGTTAGCTATCGTATTATTACGCTTTTACATCAGACGTAAGAATTTTTGATAGCCGATGCAGCGGCCCGTAGGCGACTGTCTTCTCTTCCTGGCACTCTCCTTTCCGTCTCGAATGGCCTATCAAGAGCTCGGAGCCCCAGCATGACTCTGTTGCAGCCAAAAGAAGAAACGATGGCTACCGGTAGTCGGCCGGATGCTACAATCGGGTATAGTGTAATTGGCACCGACTTGGCTGTGGAGACTCACCCGACTCTTCCCCATGTCCGGGTATCGGTAGCGAGCTCCCTTTGGGGCTAGTCTTCTCGGCTGCCAACCTACGGATCCATGACAGGACTCCAGTGCATGATCCTTCCAAGATGGTGTCCACCAAACCTCACAACTGTACCAATCTTCCGGGATCTCTACCTAGCAGAGTCTCGATTTCAGCCCATTTGCGGTGCATCTCACCATTGCCCTTCCACAGCACGCCATGCTTTAACGCCAGTTTGCCCGTCTACGTTCCGCGTGGATGATGTATTTCTTTATAAAGCTTTTCGTCGTGCCACAAGACAGTCGGCCCCTTAACAGTCATATCAGTTGGAGACGCTCATGACCCTTTATATCTTGTTTCATATTCGAAAGTCACGTCCGTATTCCCATTGCTAAACAGATGCCAAAATGACAAAGGCTCTTGGAACCTTCAGAGCATTCTACCTTGTAGCGTTATGCTGCGTTGGTTCTTTTCTTTTTGCCTATGACACCGGTATTGTTGGTGGAATTCTGACCTTCTCGAGCTTCCAACGGGATTTCCGATATACCACCAAGGATAAAGCCAATGTCGGTTCACTATCCACGAGTCTTTTGCAAGCTGGCGGTGAGTACATCTATCTATCTATCTGTTTGTTGCAGTTGTTTGTTGAATGTCATTTACTTCTGCATGGCGACAGTGCTATCATTATGCCTTCCCTGGCCCTATGCAGAGAAATATATAACTAATTTGGAACTCTTGTCTTCCTTAGCTTTCTTCTCCTGCTTCTTCATCTGGCCCTTCACCGCTCGATTTGGCCGCCGCTGGTCTCTTGTTCTGGCCTCGGCTATTTTCAATGTCGGCGCCGTGGTTCAAACCATCAACACTCATCATCTCGCCGGATTTTACATCGCTCGATTTGTCTCGGGAGTCGGCGTTGGCATGGCCACTGTGATAGTGCCCATGTACTCAGCTGAGATGGCACCAAAAAATATCCGTGGCATGCTTGGTAGCATGTTCCAGTTCTTCTTTACCTTGGGAGTCATGACTTCGTACTGGGTTGATTATGCAGCGAGCATCCATATCCCTGATGACAGCAGCGCCCAGTGGCAACTACCGGTCGGTTTACAGCTTGTTCCCGGCACTATTCTTGGCTTAGGAATGCTCTTTACAAAGGAGAGTACTCGTTGGCTGGCCAAGACAAATCGCCGTGAGGAGGCTTTGCAATCTTTGATCTGGGTACGCGGTGGAGATTCTCCAGAAGTCCAAGAAGAGTAAGTCACCCCCAAGCATGACAATTCACATATCCCTGGACTGTTGGTCAAATGGCTTGCTTCTGACACACATCCCCCTCACAGATTCGGCGAGATTGTTCGCAGCATCGACGAAGAGAACCGTATCAAGGCTGGCTTGACTTGGAAAGAGCTTATTGAACCCGTCAACCGTTACCGACTCGGCCTCATCATTGCTTTGCAAATCGGTAAGCACTTCTTTTTGATCGTGCATAATTGGAGACCTAGCTTTGGCTAATGATCTACGTTTTAAGGCGTTCAACTCACCGGCAACACCTCCATGGCGTACTGTAAGTGAATTCCTGTGCAGCTTAGTGCTTTTCCAAGTATCTCTAACATGTCTGTTCAGATGCTCCTCAGATTTTCGGTCTAGTTGGTGCCGGCCAGGACAAGCTTCTGCTTACCGGCTTCTTCGGTCTTGTCAAAGTCGTGGCGTGTCTTTTCTTCCTGCTATTCCTCGTTGAACGAATCGGTCGTCGTGGCTCCCTGCTAGGAGGGGCAGGCCTCATGGGCACTTACATGCTCATCGTGGCAATCTTGACAGTCAAGTTTCCTCCGAACCCTGATGCTGGACTGACCCCTCCTTCTATTGCCTCTCTGACTATGATTTATCTCGAAGCCATGAGCTACAACATCTCTTGGGGGCCTGTACCGTGGGTTTACACCGGTGAGATCTTTAGCAGCCGGACTCGCGAGGCTGGCATTGCCA